AACTGTTCCAATGTAATACTTTTGATGGGCCATTATTGTGTGACCCAAATATTGTATTTCGAAACCCAGACGTTTTTGTCTCGTGGTGTCTGCGTAAATTTAAAATACTAACTAATAATAGTGAGATGGTTACTTTCATTTTTGAAAGTGTATTGCCCACTAAACAAGGAATGATTTGTTTTATTATAACAACACACATTGACCACTCATCCCGTAAAACATAATTAGTCATATTGTTAAAATATAAGTACATGACAGTTACAATGAACACGCAACACGCTAGATAATTTGCACGACATAGTCTACACTGCGAGAAACTGTTTCCAGTGGCATGCATCCATTAGTTCGTAAATAATATTCTTAGCAGTTTACGAATAAACTACTACACCAAGGTAAATGTAAAGACTCATTACCTCTAAGCTACCCCATAGACAAACATTTGAAGAAACGTTTTCATGAGTAAAATATTAAAATAAACAAACCCCTATCTTCATCTGCATGAATTACACATTTTATACAAATAAGAAATCTTATGGAAACCAAGAAAAATTGGTTAATTGTAGTCTATTTTTTAAATTGTTTAAACAGTAATTAACCAGGGTTTCCTTTTTTGTATACAAATCTTATAGTTAGCGTGTGTTTTGCTGACTGGAACAAAATTAATATCATATAAATACATATAGCAACCATAATAAGTACTTAAATTGGACTATGGTCCCAACAGTTATATTGATGGCAAGATTATTCCAATGACAAAACTACAATATGAAATATAATTGTTTACGAGGCAGATTATCCGGAAGTGTTTCCTAGCTTCTTTGCGAGTGGAGTGGAGGGACGAGTAATATCGTACTGATTTCTGTCTGTCTGTCTGTATGTGTGTGTGCCTATGTCAAATTAGTATCTCTCCACATTGGTTTGAATGGAAATGACTCTGAGATTAGATTGTAGCTATGTAACGGAATCACATCATATCGTGATTTTTTGGACGGGTTTCCCCTCAGACATAGACCATTATTTGTTTGTTTGTTTGTTAGGACAAAAAATTTCGTTTGTTCATTTCTTTTTTTTAATTAATACTGAATAGGTTGGTACTTTATTCTAATAAAGCATTTTTACATAAATACATGAATGAATACGTAATAGAATCAATTCGATATTCCAAATGCATTTGTATAATAAAGAAATGCTGCTGTCCTAATATTGTGAACATACATACACTTATATACTCCGACCTTTGCCCTAAAAATAGCTATTTCATGTGGGTTACAGAGGAAATATATGTGCCAAGTTTGAAGTCCCTAGCTATTAATATATAAGTCCTATATCTCAATACTGAACATACATAAATCAACACCGTGACATTTACTTTTGATATTTTGACTCGGAAATTCGCTGTTGTGATTTATATAGAGAACACATTTGCCAGGTCTGAAGGCTCTGGCTATTTTCCCAATGTAGCTATACAACAAACACACATAAACTCATACATTGGCCTTCAACCTCAAAATGTGGCAAGGCCTTGCTAATCTCACGTACAACATTTGTTTTAATAGCACTGACTATTGTTTTCTATAGTTATATTATATAGTACAAACACACATAAATAGGAATGTAACATATACGTACCACATGTATTTAGATTTATAACAAACACACAAACCAGAAATTTCGCCACGCATTGCGTTGACTATTGGACGCAAATACATATTGATAAAAAAACACGTTGCTGAAATGTACATTACCTTGATACCAACTACTGAGGACAACAGTGAACAAATAACTTCTTTAAAGTTTACTCCGCGTTTCTTGACAACTAAGTTAACTGAAGCCATGTTATTTAAACACGTTTTAAATGATGCCAGTTTTGTTATACCCATCTAAAAATTATGGGTATAACAATGTATGTGATATATTGCTTACTCAATAATGTTGTACCAGTATTTGCTGAGTTATATAGCGTCTTGGTAAGAGAGAAGTAATTGTACAATCTATTTAGTTGGTATAAAACTGTTATATGTCATGCATGTCGTCGGATACGCACTTGATTTAGCAGAAATGTACGTTACTCAACGTATATTTCAACAGACTAATATTGCATTCAAGATCATCGATTGTTTTAATCTCAACTATCAACTGTTTTATTTCAACTGCATAAAGTAGATTGTATTCTGATCATTTTTAAACAGAACCGTGTGCTCGTGGATAGGTCAATTCGACAGTGATAATATTAAGGTATGATTTAATTTCTTTAAACAAAGCAGAGAAGACGGAAATACTACTTCCTTTCTTCAAGCGTGTTCAGCAAGTTGAAAATAATGAACAGACCAGAACACGTTTAAAAGACAAAACAATAGAAGCGCTTGTTAGGAGATTCAAAATAATAGTAAGATTCAGAATCCGATTCCAGACAAGCTAACATTTGCCAATATATTTGCATTATGTATTTTAATAAAGGACGATAAAAACATTAGCCATTGCCGGAGTTGACATTGACATAAATGTTTTAGTGCATACATTAAGATTCATAATTAACTTTGCTTTATGTTAATTTATTAGGATGGCCGACATGCATAATTAGCGGTTTTTTAGCATTTTTTAAAATTTAAATCAAAAGGTGTTATTGACCTTACTGTTTGAAATGTACGTTATATACTGTTTGTAATGTACGTCACATATTCAGTAGATAAACATATTAATATTGAATGAGTGTAGAGTGTCATATTAGATAAAATAACACAGCGTGAGAGAACTTGACTTTTGTCCACATTTAATATTAAAAACCGATTCCACGCAATGGCACAAAATATTTGATATTCAAAATATCACAATCATGAAACACACACACCAAATCCTGTAATACCTATATCAAGGAAGTCCGCAAAAGTAATGTTTATAAAAACAAAGAAACTTACACTTAATTGAGTACATAAAACCGGTTGTGCCACATACTCCACATTGATGATTTAAAATTTACGTATCAGTGTTAAACAATTTTGTTAAGACAGTCTTAGTGCGCTCTGCATGAAACTGATTTTGCTTAACTTAACTCGAAAGCCATCGACATACAGTGTTCCAAAAATTTACTAATGTTGTTAAAATTACGTTATATAATATATGAAAATCTGCTCCAGTAAAATTTGACCACAGATGAATACAATGCAAATTCGAGCAATAGTTACGGAATAGCAGACACTTCAGAGTACATTAACCAAATCAACGTACCAAAAAATTATCTCTAACATAAATCTTGAATAATATAATAATCTTAAATAGCAATATTCATTTACACGGTTACATTCGCACTTAGAGTAGAATATACATCTCATATCATACTCATCAAAAACTCATCAAATCATATCAAAAATAGCTTACGAAAGTACTGTTTAATTATTTCCATAGAGTCCTCATAACACACACCTAAACATGTGACACCAGATACCTTGTGATATTAATATGCACATCGCTATTCACTAATACATTAATCCTCTGTGTCAGCAAAATTTGCCCCTCAAAATACAGGAAACGGCGTCAGAGGGTCTACATTGCAATTTTTTCCGGGGCAGAATTTAAACATTAGCGAATTTAAAGTCACAAAATTAAAAGGCCATAAATGCCAAGCGTTAGTATTTGTTAGCGTATAATATTACTCTCTGGTGGTTTAGCATATTCAGCGGGAGATATTGGCCTAGCGAGGCGAAGTGATTGTGTACCCAGAATATGCTATATCTCTCCAAAGGGATCACGATCAACCGCCACTGTTCTCATCGTGTCGGTAAATGTGAATTTGTTGGATTGCACTGCCGTCGTGAAGGCCTCTGAAGAGCAATGAGTTGTGGAAATCATCTACAAATAAATTTTAAAAACGTAATACCTCGTTGTACAATATTATATGATTTTCATTTGAATTTGATATTGTATTTGTGTGAACTGACATTCTAATACATAATCAGTCTCAATTCATTTGCCCGCTGTGTAGTGCGCGTTCTAATTCCCATATGCTCAGATGCCAGCCTTTGAAACATTCTCCACATAACGTACGCGTAAAAGGAAATGACATGGCAACAAATATAATATATTAAATTAACGATATATTTCTCCTGCATGTACGCCGATGTAAACGAAAAACAGAGTTTAGGCCCATGACTGGTACTGACACTTGCTTCGATGACGTCACTTGGTTTTTGAAGCAAAGAAGAAGCAAGAAAATCAATGGATTACAATTATGCAATCAATATAAACATTCAGTTTTATATCTTGTACCAGGTGTTCCGATCAATTGATCTTATTCCTGCACTGAATATGAACAGTTCTCACATTTGTGTTATCTAGACTCAGTTAAGACAGTTTATTCAGTTTGGGCAGACACGCAAGTCTTTTATTCCTAGATATAAGAACTGTCTGTCTGTCTATCTGTGTGATTTTCTGTGTCTTCACGTATTAACTCTAATTATATGATGCAATCTGAAACAAATCCTGGGCCATCATTGGCATGGAAACAGCAAAACTCTTTGTTAATATCTTCGAGCCCAATGTATGTCCTGTCATTGGCGAGAAATTTAACCTCAAAGTTGTGGTAACTTTTCCCCAGCAACGGCTTTTTAAATTTTCTTCCTATCGGAACGGATCGTCAATAATCATGTTTAACTCCAATGTTATGTAATTAATCATTTATTACAATTTTCAATAATCGGTTCGTTGTTCATAATCTCGTTCAATTGGTGAAAATAAAAATCTCAACCTGAATATAAATGTGCGAACAGAAATATATTTATTAGAAGTTATTGTATGATGTTGGTGTAATTTACGCACACGTTAACTCCTTACGTAGAAAAGAGCGTTTTGTGTCAGTTTTTGTTCATATTTTTACCGTTAATGTCAATGTTTTGAAAATGATCTAAGCTAGGCGAATCTCAAGTTGCATGCCATGTCACTTATTTGTATAGATTGAAATGCCGCGTTTAACCTTACCCGTATATCAACAGATATAGCACAGTCACATGAGACGTGAGTCACATTTCACCCATGATTAATATTATTTCCCCCCTTATTGATGTTTTCAAACATTTCGCAGTTTTCAAAGAGCAGTTTCTCTCTACTTCTCATTCCAGGGCTGGATTGCACTGACGACCATCGTCGACTTGTTAATTATTTGTTTAATCCGAATCGATACGATCCAGTGGTCAGACCAGTATTAGATAAATTAAAAACTACGGAAATGGAAATGAAGTTATTTGTAGCGCAGGTTTTAGACATGGTAGGTGTACCGATATCGACATACATAATGATTTACATTGTGTTTAAAAGAGTATTAATAATTGTTATTATTAGCCACAAATAACATTGTTAAAGAATCATGTGTTGGGATGACTTTATCACGTGACTATGAGGGAGGTTAAAAGCCAAACGCCGAGTTCATTTACCAACCTACATGAGTTCGAGCGAAAGTTAGCTAACATTTGCAGTTATTATTGGTCGGATCTGATTGACGCCGTTAATTAGACAGCGTATTAAATTGTCACGAATGTAAAGACACAAAGATAAAGTAGTGTTCGCCGGACCTGAATTGTAATCCAAATCAATGATTTCGCAACACATTTTTGAGTCAGATTTTTTAAACGGTTTCTGTACCTCAATTGCTGCCTATCCAGTCTGATTGGAAGGCTCATATCTCCTACCAAATAATGCGTACCTGAGTGCATGTGTTTGTGCATACGTGACTATGACGTTATATTCACAGGATGAAAGAAAACAAACGTTGAAAACGAATGTATGGTTAACGCTGGTAAGTGTCATTTTCAAAATGTATTCCTCTATTTTATCGTTTGTACTATTTCAAACATTCAAGTATTCTTGCAATAATATATATTTACACAAATATCCTCATAATATTCCGAAAGATGCAAAAAAGAAGAATACATAATATTATTGATACTACTGGTTACTTCTGCAAGTTGATGGTTATATCATTAGCATATGATTTATCGTAATCTAAAAACAATGCCCAACACGTGGAAGCTGAATGTTTTGTACGTGTAATACAAATCACCGCATATCTTTTTTTTTCAATTGTCATCAATACTATTCAATGTACTGTAAAGGTGATTTTAAATTACGATCAATCCAAATCAATATTGCTCTTTTTTAAGCACTCTTTTGACAGTTTTAATTGATTCATCATAATATATAAATATATAATATATAAATATATATTTTTTGTAAATAATTTTAGTGATGATTACTAATATTGATTTCCGATCAACATTATTGACAATACACGCCACGTGGTTTTATCCTCAATTCAAATTGCGCGTTCTCTCTCGATCTCATTTTGGTCTCAGTACATTTATCTCTCAGCTACCGTGTTTAATGATGCTGTGTTTATTCTGATGTCCCCGCCTAATCCAGTCTCGATTCAGCACTCATGAATTCTCAGTTATTCCGGACTCATTAAACACACAAAGTAACTGCCACGTTGCTTCAGGCATTTACATGTCATCGAAGGGGTAGATTGCCTGATAATTTGCAACATATACTAAACATTACACACGCAGTGTTTTAGCGTTATTCCATTTGTAGCATTAATCCTGACAACCCATATTCGCTTCAGTAAGAACCAAGTGATGCTGTCGAATGTGGTGTACCAGCGTCAACCGGTCTATTAAACTTGTCAATGCCCTGAATACACAAAACTCATGTTCATCGTAGCGTGTCCATGCTTTTATGTCCAATGTTACGCTGATTACTAAACTTTCGGAATGTTCAAGGATAGATTTACGAACGTGGCGTACAGGGTACATATAAACATACTGTTTTTGTATAACATCTATTTAGAAATGTGCAAAATACTAAATACTTACACACACAATTGTCAAATGTTAAATGTGTACTTGGTATGGTATTAATGACGAATATTCATATATATCATAATGTCGATATGTTAAACCACCATCGCTATCAATGTATATTCTGCGTTATTCACTTAAATGACAATCTTCATGCAAGTTTGGGAAACACTAATCCATCGTAGTCACGTATATAGAAAGTACGACATCGCCTTATAGAATCTCACTTTTGAATTACCTGATTTAATTCAGCCATATCTATGTTGATTTAATCTGAACACTAATTATTAGTATTTTGTATTTATTTATTTTAAAAATTCGTGATAGAACATTAGTGTGGGACAAATCCCTAAATATAAACAACGGAGAAATCTTTCCAGATATTAACAAATACTATGATTTTCCATAGGAATGGATTGACGAATTCATGATTTGGAAACCGGAAGATTACAACAATATCACAGATATCAAAATCCCTACGCAAAAACTGTGGATGCCAGACCTGACGCTCTATGATAAGTACGTACATCAAGTCAACATTTTTTATGTTATTGAAATTCGTGCCATGCAAGGCGCCCTCATTCTTCTAACTTTCATACAATGCACATGTATACACGTCGTCCTATATCAATATGTGTTCTTTTTCTGTCATAGCATTGAAAGCGATAACAATCGATGTTAGTATCAGTAGATATTTATAAATACCTAATTAAAGATGACGTTATTAGTAATAGCATTAATGCTGCTGAAATCATTTGCAATTGAGAACTCCAAGAATGTTTTTTTTCTTGTGTTATTATCAAATTACGCATTAACGAATGACTAGATGCAGATGCCCAACATGGGTGAGATGTTGACATATGCGTGACGCAGCCGTTACAACTCCAGAGTATAAACACGTGCAAAAAGCAGGAATCTCGTGCCGAATGTTTTCGCATATTAAACATACTGCTTTTAAGCTGTTTAAACACGTTATATTAATGCGCCCACGTAACGTTTGTTCAATATTTATTTTCTGACTTGTTCTGTTTTACAGGTTACACGTAATTTCAGTTTAATATAAACATACTGTTTATTTATACTCACAGTCAGCACCGCTATACATTTTGCAACGGCGCGCGATGTAATGTACATATACACATTTAAACACATCTGCTACTAATATGCGTAGTTTAATATCCCAGTCATCTAAAGCGGCAATGTAAATATATGTGAGCTTAATTAAATAATTTTGTTTTTAAAAACAGCATGGTATGATTTATCGTAAAATAAAGCGTTATTCTACCAGTAAGCATAGCAGTACTCGTTGGATGCAATTATAAATGCGTCAGGGCGCGCGCGCTTCAAATTACGCGTACGTACAGGTAAATCCGGTACGCATGCGCATTTGCGATATACATTACTTCATCGAACGAATACTGGTATGTTTGACGTTAAACGTTATTTCGTCGATTGTTTAGTGATTATAAAAATATATACATACATAAACAAAATGAAATATCAAACAGAATTATTTCAAAATGGTAGGTTTGTGATGCGCGTTATAGTCAGTTCATCAAATTATAAATTGTGTTCACCCTCAGACTAGTAATACTTGTATAATACTAGTAATACTTGTATTACTAGTCCGAGGTTCACTAAATGACTACAACTGTCTTCCGGATTTTTCGGTGTTTCAAATCAAACATTAACCCGCCATGCAATGATGTTACACTTATTGAGAGAACTATAGGCGTGATTATATCACAACCAACTATATGGAACAAGATGGCGGATTTGGCGTCGTATTCGGCCTAAACTATCACATGACACTTTTTTTTTACTGTTTCAGCGCTGATAAATACGTGGACTTTCTGAGAGGAAATAACCGACTAGTAGTACTTGATTACGGGGGCATTGTACACTGGGCATCTCCGGTCATTTTCAAAACCTATTGCAAGATTGGTGTAAGGTTATTCCCATTTGACCGTCAACAGTGTCCATTGAAATTCGGGTTATGGCAATATAATGGAAATGAAGTATACGTCAACGGATCAGGTGAGTTAAACCACGGGCACGTACTAGGATTGGGGATGAATGTAGATTCAATTGGCTATCGTGTGTCTTAATATATGATTTCACACACACGTGGGATGGTCGTCGCATCTGTGTGCGCCAGTGTGCGTTCGAATTGTGTGGAACTAAACAGCGCTTTTGGTCTACGTGCATTATGTTGTTGTGCATCAACCGCACACGGTCTCGACGAACACCGTCATTAAAACACAACTGCGTCGAGAACATTAAAGTAGCAAAGGGATGTTTTGATGCACAAATATGAACCAATGTAGCAATTGTTCGGTGGTTGTACGTACATACATGTGGGAATTGGTGAAGCGTGGTTTATTAACCACAAACTACTTAACCACAGCAGTGTGCCTTGTTTGAGCTTGACTTTCCCTCCCATGTGTACGAAATGAAATCTTGAGATCAAGACGAGACGATGCAAAGTACATAGCGCCATGTGTATTTTAAGGAGTATTAACTATGTATTGTCCAACACCGGAGATTACCGGTACCAGTGACTAAACATTGCCACGCCAGAAAAACAAAACAGTACTACACCTAGAAGGAAGTGAAGTACAAAAATAGTAGCTTATATGTCGCCCTGAGGGCGCAATTGTCTGTAAGTAGCCAGGTCGTGTAAGCGGGGGCTAGTACTACATACAATATATTGAAAATCGATGTCTACATGTGTGCTACACGTCGAAAGTCAGGTGCAAAAAGTCATGTCTTGTACGTCAGTCCCTGATACATTTATAGCATTGTAGTTGACAAAACCAGGGATGAGGGGTTGTAATTTCTCTGAGGCATGGGGATATAGAGCGGTTTCAAGAATAATATATCATTAAGCTGCATTAAGCATTATATTGCCTAATTGCAATTAGCATTGTCATGGAAATAATGAATTATTTGAAAACTGGAATTATATTACCGACTCATTTATGAAAATAAGTACTAACAGTAAACTGAACTTTGACTGTATTGTCATTTGCATAGGATTTATCACATTTATCGGCGGGAAAATCAACAACTTCATGTATTCGGTATTGTTTCACTATATTTAAAAACACATAAGTATAAGTTACAGAAGAAACATAACTAAATAAGTATACCCTCCCCCTTGTGGATTTGGGGAAATGTAATAAATTGAATAGGAGAGTGTGTGTAGACTGTACCAGCACCACATTGTTAGCCTTACAATTATCAATGACAGGGAAATAATGATATTTTATTAATTTATTAATTTCATAGTATTCACTCATCATACATTTTAACTAATTAATAACGTTTGTTACAGTCACAATTTTAAGAGATTATGAATGTAAATAAAAGTTTTGTACATTTATCATAATTTTTAGTCAAATTCTCTGACATTTGTTTATTTTAGGGCAAAATATTTGATCTTGCTTGTATTTTTAGTTTTTCATGTGAAATGTCATTATATTACATTTATACCTTTGTTTAAACAAAATCACTTGAAATTGAATGCATAACTACCACCAATTTGAACTCGAAGTGATCTCCCACTTTACATTATGGTCTGGAGTACATTGGTATGTTGCGAATTATGCAAATTTAGGTATAACTAGGTCACTGTGTATTCAACCACTATGTACATATTCATTGTTATGATTAATGGCCAATGTACTATATGGTATTTCATGTGTGACATTGCAGCAAGACAAGAGTAGTTTATAATATTCCCACCGGTATAGAAAAAATACGTTCATGAAGGGAGAAATACAGAGTTTAGATATACACACACATTTGCCCCTGGTGTATAATAAAGCCGGAGCTTTTACTGTCATGTTTGGGGGATTCACAATCCGTTTCTCGCAATTATAAGGAGATATCCCGAACAATCTGGTTCCGATTCCCTGGGGTGTTGGATAAAACCCGAATAAGCCATAGCTCGAAACGCATGGATGTCGTTAGTGGATAATGGAAGAAATCACCTCATTTGAATATGCAAATTTGTCATTTCTTCTCCCAGGTGACACGACAGTCTTCAAAAGTGATGGCGAGTGGGAAATGGAAAATCTGCTGGCCGAAGGTCATGTCGAGTACTACCCAGACGCACCTGGCATTCCGTACACAGACGTTACTTATACGGTGTTATTCAGACGAAGATCGCAATATTATATTTTTAATCTCATCATGCCGTGTATTTTAATCTCCATCATTTCGATGCTGAATTTCTTTTTACCTGCTGATTCTGGAGAGAAGATTAGTCTGGGCATTACAGCGTTGCTGTCTCTCACGGTGTTTCTTCTCCTAATTGCTGAAACCATGCCTCCTTCAAGTGAAGTTCCCCTCATAGGTAAGATACAATCGGGGGATGCATAAAATAGTGTGCCTGAGTGTACATGAAGTCATTTGTCGGACGTTTTGATCGAAAACAAGTTCTCGTTACAAGAAAATTAAACGTTCATGTCCAGTCTGTAATATCTGAGAGGTTTACTCCTCTTCTGACTCAGTTCATCAAAAATTTGACGACCGACGCCATCTTGAAAAACTGATCATGTTCGCAGTAGTTTTACTGAATCGCAAAACATCCCGGATATTTCCGTTTGTACTATATATTGAATTTACTTGAATGTAGAGGCTTCTCAAGGTGATGCATTGCATTACACGTAGGGGACAAGCTTAATGGATTTATAAGGTAGATATCCTACAGGTTTCAATTAATTTTAGTGACTAAATCAATCCTAAGAAAGATGTCGGTGACATCGAACCTTGTTGTAGGCCAACCATCCTTTTGACTGAGATATTTTTCGCACACCTAACTATTGTTATTGCTGTTTCCCTAAAACCTACCGCTTAAATTAAACTATTACCGTATATTCCAGGTAGAGGTGACGTTATTCGCAAATAAAAATGTTATATAAGTATATTATAGACTTCATATGAAAAAAAAACATAAATGAAGAATGATAAATTCCAACGGTTATATTTTCATAGTTTTTTTTTTTCAGAGTGCATAATGTGCACTGAATCTACAAACAAGTATAAACTTGCAAAACTTTTAAGTGTAACCGTGGTAACATAATTTATATCGAATACATTTTTGTAACAACCCCATTTGTGCTATTTTACACTAAATTCAAATGAATATAAACGAATGGATGTTAAACTGCGCTGTCTTGGAAGTGGATATTTTTTTTACACAAACAATCCCGAATAACAAATTCAACACAATTATATAGATCACTGTGCCCCCATGGTTGTGATAGATAAACTGCTAGTGGGGATCAAAAACGTTCTGCAGTAAGAATGGATGAAAACTTGTTTTATCCAACTCCCGATGTTAGAAAAAAACAGCTATTCAAACAACACATCACAGGATTTAGGATTATGAAGGTGTATTTCGCGAGTAAGGTTAATTCTGAGCAATTAGTGTGTAGCTTATAAAAACGGCGCAGCTGAAACGATGAAGCCGTAGCAGTATCTTGGGCAATCAATGGAACAGTTTCATAAGCTGTAAGCTAGTTTCTCAAAGGGAAAACCTACCTTTTAATGTTTCGTTCGTAATAGTGTAATGAATAGCTATGCATAACATAGCTGTAATACAATTTTTTAAAAAAGGAGCTTGTTAAACACGTTTCTCAACTTTCATTATGATTCTTCTTTATGTAAGAAATAGACACCAGCCGACTGAAGATAATCCACCTAATAAAAGTTAATGAGCTTGGCTTTGTTCCAAAGTTTGTTCCATTTAATTCCAAGTTATGGTAGTGCTTGAGCGATTGTTTTGCCCCATCCAATCCCACTCCACACCGCATTTTTGTCATGAATCTGTCTTATATTTCAGGGCAATACTATGCTGCTACCATGGTGCTGGTTTCGTTGTCACTTGTAATGACAGTCATGGTTCTTAATTTACATTATCGCGGACCATCTAGCAAGCCGGTTCCCCGGTGGGTCAAGAGGTTGGTGCTTGGACACTTGCAAACCTTTCTGCTGGTACGAAATCCTCCAAATTTTAACGAAAACTTCAGAAAAAGCCGACGCAAGATGAGAAGAAGGGACTTTACAATATCGGAATTCGTTCCCTATACAGAAGATGGAAGGGAATCCCCCATCAACGGTATCAAATTTGGCGGACGATTAAAAAGGCCGAATGAAAACATGAACAGTGCCAACCACAGCGAGCCTCAAGCCACTGAACACTCTGCGCTTATGAAGCATATAGTACGAGAAATGAAGAGTATCACAGCGAGGCTAGACGATCAGGACAAACACTCTATTCTTCATTCTGAGTGGAAACAGGTTGCCTTGGTGATTGATAGACTCTTTTTAATAATTTACTTTATCGGAACCTCCTTAACAATTGTGTACATTTCGATTAATATTCCCATGGGTTGATGCATTGATTTACATCTTATAATATATGACGGTGGCGAGGACAAGCTTGGACCATGTTTGCCAGAATTAGATAAGCTTCCCCACGACGGATCACATCGACAATCTCCGTGCAAGTAGCGATTCCAGACGATTTGGTTTTGTAACACCTGACGCCTTGGATAAGACGAAACACATTGAACAATAAACTTCAAGGAAATCGGTGCCGGTCGACTGTCTGTCTTGATGACGCACGTTTGTCATTGTTGAAAGAATCCATCACCGGGGCAGTGGCCGACTAAATTTTAGAAACGCTTGTATGAAAATACAATTAGTGTAACTTTTCTTTTTGTAGTTTATAGTCATAACAGACAACCCTGCATTCGACGTCATTTCAGGCTGGTCCTTATTTGAATAATGCTACGTTATATTGAAAGGTCGTCTAAGTTTAAGAGTATAATGCAAGACTAGTCTTATGTGCATTCGTTCAGGCGATGGTTTAACCGCGACCGTGTACCAAGAACAGTGTGTTCGTACTAAATACTGTATATTTCAAAAGTTCAACATCTGAATATCGTTTTTCTTACCTTATCCCGGTAAAATAAAATTAGAGCAACGAGTACTGCTTTGGATACTTCTCTCTACAACGAACTATTTCATTCAACAATGTATCCTGACAGATTCATTTGCTGCCGCCTTTTATTTTAACGACATCCCTTGGTTTCATACCATGATAATATTTCATATCATGTATTACTTCAGATAGTTATTTGCTCGTTGAGATTTTATTTGAGGTGAGATTAGTATTTGCAATATATATACGTCAAGAGGGGAAACGTTGTTAGCGGTTCAAGTAGGCATCGCCTCACTACTTCACAAGAAATATTTTCCTCGCTTTTGTATCTCTTTATTATGTATTGACTGCTACGTACTTTCATCGCTATGCGTTTCCGTCTTCTCTAAAACTTTGTAATAAGAACGTAAGAACACAACCAGGAGTTTATCTCTTTCCCCCCACTCTTCGTCGGTCAGGATGTTGAGTTATTAATTGAGGAAAATAGTTCATTATGAGTTTGAACTCCAAGTATAACCGACTAATAGGTTTATTTGTTTTAGTAGTTTTCTTTGTACATACTATTCTGCAAAAATACATTGTATATTATAACATGTCTATTGCAATAACGCTAAAGATAATTTCAAATAGTGTTTATGAGTTCATCATTTGTTTACTAGATCTTTAATATATCATGTTACATGGAAGAGCTGTATAAATGGTGTTATATTTAAATTAGTTCCTATCATTGATTCATTCATTCCCGCTATCCAAACTCGTATAGAAGTACACAGGTAGGTGTAACAAAAAATGTCTCAGCAACACCAGCGTCTAAAGATTTCCATTATGTCAGATCTCGCATATTACCAACCATATCAGAGTCTTAGCATTTCCATTATGTCAGATCTCACATATTACCACACACATCAGTGTCTTAACATTTCCATATGTCAGATCTCACATA